CCTATAAGTTTTATAAGTATTCGGTATTAGTAAGGTGAAATTAGTAAACCATATAAATATATAATATACCAGTGTCCAGTATATAATATAATAGTATGTACTTATGACTGAATACCCCTATAGATAACTGAGACATTACAGGGTTACAATTACTTATTAGTACTTAATAGTTTAAGTTTTTTATAACAAATTTGCAATTTGTATTAAAACAGTAACGAATTACACACACTAATGTTCATTTACTTTCAACACATTAACAAGACCCATGTAACTTGAAATATAAAATTTATAGTTTTTACTCCTTAGAATGGATTACGCTCTAGCTCCCTTAAGGGGCCTCGCTACTACTATACATTTTAGCTGAAATGACCTAAAGTATTGACAAAATTAAAGTTAGTTTTTGTTGTCCGATTTTGATTCTGAAAAAAAATTTGAACTCACCAGAAAATTGTCTATAGATCCTACGAAGCACATTGTAAAAACTAAATTTTATATTATGATGAACTGTAATTGAAAACTTGTAAATATGAACTTTTTCGAATCATAATTAAAATTATAATTAATATTAACAACGGAAAATGTTCGGTACGATCTATAGACATTTTTCTGCTGAATTCAAATATTTTTTCGGAATAAAAATCAGACAACGTTACTAACTTTAATTTTGTCAAAACAAATGTATGTTTTTGTAAGATTCGTGTAGTGAAATTGATATGGTTATCGAGAAATTGACATGTGCATGCGAGTAAGAGAGAGGATACCCGCATTTAATTTCACTCACACTAATGATCATTTACAACTAACACATAGATCTCGGGCGGCTAAGACGAGATTAGAAATTGCCTAAATGTTGCCCCTTAAATAATAGCCGTAGCGAGGCCGCTTAACAGTCATAATAATTTATTTTATTTTTGCATATCCTTTTATTTTACGCCATCAGTTGTACAACACTACAACACACATGTGAATAATAAAATGATACGTGTCTTACCGCTGACCTTGAGGCACGTGTTGTACCGTTATCGCGAGTGCATATTTATAGCTGGCTATCGATAGCAAATCAAAGCTGGATCATTATGTATGGATAATATGCCTATTACATAAATTCATCTTTATCATAAAATTAACTACAATAATAAATCGGCAAACCGTCTGAATGTCCGGTCATTAGCAGACCACACGCAATCAAACCACATATTCAAACAAAACACACGCCGCCGCCGTTATCCATATTTAAAAATGTCCCGTTACACAATCCAATCTTCCCAGACCCACAGACAAAACTCTCCTCTATTGTATGCATCAAGAAACTAATTTCAATAAAAGACGCAAACCCACATACCAACATTTTTATAGTATAAACGAAATTGCTCAACTTAGAGCTATGGTGGATTCACAATAATGATAAAAGATTAACTAGAACTATTTTAGTGTAGAAATAATCTGAAAGACTACAACTCAATAATATGGAAGGATATTAACATGTGCGTGCATTTCACTATTTCTTTTACACATACGGTCACCCACACTAATGATCACTTACTACGCACACATTTCATAACCATCACGCAAGCACATCGAAAATGACCTATATTGAACTCCTTAAAAACGATCGGTATCAAATCACCTTAAATAATAAATACTCATATTTAAACGCAGGAATACGTTTGACCGTGGTTATAGTATGATTTATTGGAAAAATTGTTTCTCATTTCGGGTGTTTTTTCGTATCAACTATCAAAAATAGGTAGACGTAGGTAAAATTCAATATAAAATATTATGCAAACCGTGTATTATATCAATGTAATATTTACTTGCAATAATACATGTCATATAAAATTGAATAATTATATTATCTAAGTACAAATTGTAAAAATTGTATTAAATGTACTTAAGGGGATTCGATACCGTGATTTTCTGTTTTTGTCTAACACACGCGCGACATAGTATTTTAGATGTGTTTTTTGCCAAACATACCAATTGATCTAATGAAGCGATACGAATTCTGAAAACAGATTTGAATTTGTCGTCAAGTCTACTTGAAATCGACTTTCCCACATTTTTGATATTATCCCCTAAATTTTTTTAAATGTCATATTCAAAAAGAGTATTTAAAAATTCTGTTATTTCAATTTTTGGAGAAGTTTAAATCAAAAAATCAAAAATGTGGGAAAGTCGATTTCAAGTAGACTTGACGACAAATTAAAATCTGTTTTCAGAAATCTTATCGCTTCAATAGATCAATTGGAATGTTTGGCAAAAAACACGCCTAAAATACTATGTCACGCGTGTGTTAGAAAAAAAACAGAAAATCACGGTATCGAATCCCCTTAACTTATGTATAATTCATGATACATGATATAGGTACGTAGTAGTTGATTTGTTATCAACTTCAACATGAATTTATTGATACTTTTTTATATTAGACTCTGAGTGGAACTATGAATGTATTGATTTTACACTGATTTGTGTTTTTTATTTTTTATTTATTTTTGTGTCTGTCATCACGGTTTGGGGCAGTAAAACTGCTTCGATTTTCTTCAACAGTATCTTGTTTGATGGGAAAGTGAATCTAATTGGTGCATTCGGGAAGTAAAATTCCCAATAATTTTCACGAGCGCCGAGAAAAACAATATAAAAATTAAGGAAAAACGGGAATTTTTACGCAAAATCGGTTTTCCAAAAAATAGATTTTGATTTTTGGTGTAAGTGTGTAACTCTAAAACAAATTAAAGTATAAACATGAAATTTTCACTGGTTATTTATATTTGCATTTTCTATACACGATAAAATTTTCAAAATATTATGATTTGTTTTGAACTGTTTAGGAACATTTTCATTTTCCATTTTTTTTAATTTTTTTTCTAGAAATATCAATAAAATTTTATTTGTTGGTTAAAAAAACTTGAAAATTTAATAGAAGGCTCCTAGTATATTGTTTCAAAGGTTGATGAAAAATATTTAAAAACCTTAGTCACAGTTTTTTGTTCTCTAATGGATATTGTGATATGATTAATTTGGAATTTATTATAGGTCAATTTTTTTTTAATACCATAGGTAAGTATATAATATGTCTTATACCTAGACTGACATACTATCTCCGCTCAGAATCGTTTTTCTTATACAATGACATTATATCATTGAATTCAAATTTAATACCATCCATTATACAGTGACCCATTTGTAACCTACTGTACAGCAGAGCACCTTTTTTAATAGTTCACAATGACAATATTATTCGTCTAATGAAATTTTAAAACCATAATAATTACAATAATACAATGTCATAACTTTTTGACAGTGTACTACAAATCCCCTGATGAATACACGGACATGATACAATGATATAAACATGTATCGTCAACTGCTGTATAGTTACATTAAAATATACTAAAAAATACTAAAAAACACACATTACATAATACCTACGGTATAAAATTATTTTTATTTGTTATTACCTACTGAGCCCGTGTACTTCGTTGCCCGTTAAAAGTACCAACTCTATATGATTCAAACTTTGTTCAACTCGTTTATTTAATAATCGGTGAATGATTTTCAAAACTTAAAAATTGTCATCTTGAATCTCAAAATACTTGTGTAAGCACCACTTTAAAATGAGAATTTTGGAATATGCTATCTTAGTACACACTTACATGGTGGTACGAAGGTACCGTGAAAATGTCAAGCCTCAAGCTATCATTATTTAGGATCTATTTTGATCAGTCAGTGTGTCAGTCAGGACACGTTCGATTATATTGTATTATTACCATCCCCCCCGGCGTTGCCCGTGAGACACGCTTGTGATTGTGGGAGCAGTATATTTTCAGGTAGGCAATCCACCTGTGAATTGTAGACCCCACGAAGTGCGTTCATAGTTTTATCGACATGTTGTTTATGGTGTGCATGTGTAGGTTCCCAGGACAACAGTCGAAAAAATATCTTTGGGAATACCATATTTCCAAACTTATAATATAGTTTTGACCAAATATAATATTTAGGTACAGGTCTAAAATTATATTCAATCATAACCAATAGCAACCTCACAATAAACAAAAATATATTATTATTTAGTTTATTTGTTTTTTTGCTGGGCAGCTGGAGCCACTTTTGTGTTTTTTTCATCCAGTTTCCTACTTTTCCGGTGGATTTTCATAAAATTTTCTTTCATACAAACCTTGTCAGTTGTCACGACAATTACGAATACAACAGAAAAAAGTTATATAAAAATGAATATTTTTGATTATTTTCAAATTATTATTGTGTTAATATTAGGTTTGAAAAAAGTTACGTTTTTAAAAAAAAAATTGTGGCTACATTTTGTGAACTTTTGTATGAAATTAAAACGTAACTTATTCATATCATACACCGCTCTAACCAGATAGACACTTTAATATGACTATTATTTATTACTTATAAAATATTAGTTTTCAAATAATCATTGTAGTTTTTAGGTAGATACCTTACCTATTCAAAATCTCTGTAGATTAATTTTGGCATTACCTAAATTTCACATTTTATTGCACAGTAATTAATTACATTGTTACATCAACCATCTATATGTAATAAATAATAATATTATGTTGTATAAGTGTATAATACCTTTGTTTTAAAATAAATATATATTCCATAATACCAATATATCCATTTAATACCTCTGTTTACGTATAATGTTGTAAATCTAAATAGACGAATAAATTGGTGTACAATAGTCAATGAATATTACAAAAAGGATTTACATGACGTCATGCGTAGACATGGTACATAATTTAAAACAAGCCCCGGACTACCTGCGGTTATAGGTTTGGTAGGTATTACTACAACATAATCAAATGCTTATGTGAATTGATTATTGGAATATCTGTACATTTTATTCAGGCAATATGTAATATCCTGTATTTAAAACAATTATTTTGGTTTAATAAATAATAATATAAAAAGTAAATCAATTAAAAAGTAAATTAAATTTATAGTACAAATATTACAAAAGCTTTTGATAGCTCTTAGCTGAACTGTTCCCGAAGAGAATTTAACTTGGTGTCAATCGGGGCAAAAATAACAATCAATACTAAGACTGATGTTATTAAAACAATAAACAACACGTGAATGAACAGCCAGAATTTCCGGAATCCAGAATGCTAAAAAAAAAAAATATATTATAATAACAAAATAATATAAGTATTGTGGTGTTAATTATTTTGAGTAGTATATAATATTTGACTTGGAATTTCACTTACCGGTGCATCTTTGTGTTGTTCGTAACTCATCGGACTCCTTCCGTTGTGAAGATCTTTCATGGGGAACGTGTTTATGCGCATGCTTCCCGATTTTTCACTCAAGCAACCCGATATCTAAACCACAATGTTTAATCGGTGTATAGGTACGGATAATTATAGGTAAGAAACACAACTGTGTAAATAATATTGTAATGCGCATCGAGAGTGCGGTTTGTACTTACCGACAATATTAAATGGATGATGACGTAGAAGCCCACGTAAGCCACTAGTATCCAATCCATCCACGCTGGGAGTTCGGCTTTGCTGAGGGTGACGGCGAAAAATATGGTCAAGACTGTGGACATAAAACAGAACCACGGTTGCGTATAATATGAGAGGAGACGAAAATCAAAGAGATTAAAACGAAAATACGTCTGGTAGGCTATACTCACTGGCGAATATGTGGGCGGCGTTTCCGACCAGCCAATGGATCCAGTTGAAAATCGGTCTCTTCGACGAGTCAGGATGCGGCCGGAAAGCTGCGAAAATCGGCTGGAAAAACGTCAACGTGGTGGTGACGACTCCCAAAAGGGCATGAGTTTGACTAGGACCGGACACCCATTCGCCGAGTTCCACGAATATGCAAGCCGACCCGGCCAACGAAAGGATCCAAGTGAACATCATCAACAAACGATGCCACTGCGAGTTGGAAAGTAGAATAACATATTATTTTATTGTGTATACAGTAACTCAACATAATATAATAGTTTGATATTGTACATATTAGAAAATTGAATTTTCTGAGGACATCAAAATTCGTATTTTGTTATTTATTCTGCTTTCGCTTGAGAATCATATTTTGATCTAATCATTATCGTCACACTAATATAATAATATATTATGATAATTTATTAAGAAAATAAGTATATTAAGTATATTAAGTATATTAATTAAAAATTAATTGACTGTTGGCATTTTCTTGCAATATATCAAAATATTGTTCTTAACCATGATTTTATATTTGTATTTCTTAGTTTAAGACCAATGTTTAAAAAAATCATTGTTGATAATAATTTAGTAAGTACAAACATTTCTCCAACATCGTGGAGTTTTTTACAAATTGTTAAAAGACAAAAATATGTCATGCGTGAATAAAATCAATAATATCAAACATGATTAAAAAGGGTATGTTTATTAACACTTATTGATATTTGGTTGTTTTGAAAATGTTGGGAAATAAATAACTTCCTAGGAATCAATATAATATGAAAGTAAAATTACCCAGTACACCTATTGTGTAGTGCGCTGAAATAAAATCAAATTTAATATGAAGTACGTTTATTATTTTTTAATATCAATAAATTGTTATTTCATATCAGTAAAATTTTACAAATTGTATATTTATTTGCATTTTAGAGTAGGTACAAAAAATATATTTTATAGGCTACTATAAAATTGTAATTATATTTTTGGCAGTCAGTCCAAATACTAACGGAATAATATTAATTTACCGATAAAAATTTTATCAAAATAATAGTTATTTAAAATATGAAGGTAAACTAAAACAGATAATAATTGAAGGATCAGTTTTATAATCCCTGTTTAATCAAAACCGTACGAAATGAGGATTTTTGCCACATGACACTATGCAGATACTGCAGTGCATATTATTATTATCTACTACAGTACATTATCGATTTAATTATTAGTACAAAACGCTTTCCAGCGGCTTACCCCAAACCACAAGTCCTTGGAACAACATGAACCTCCGACCCACGTCTGTTTGTAATACCGAGCGACGACTATACCTATGCTGGCAGCTCCAATCCATGCGACAATCATAAACGAACCGTGTAACCTCAAAAGCAACTTTGACGAGGTTCTCAGTGACTTGATTTCCGACAGCGCACTCGCCTCCGCGGTTGAGGTATAGGCCAAGTCATGGTAGCCTACACTCCGTTCTGGGACACACACATCACACATTCGTTTAATAAATTACCGTTCTAATTGTATTTGTTTCGATTTTTTCCAATGTTATCATAGGATATTTTCTAATTGTATTCGTTCCTATTTTTTCTAATGCTGTTATATGATATTTTTGTTGTCGTTATCATAAGGACCTAAGATTATCTTTATTATTATCGTTGAAGGTGTGTCTTCTTATCTGTCTTACCTTTTAACGATGTGCCGGCGGCGATCAGTAAAAAGTATTTGTTTCTCATCAGATCGTAATTGACTCCTTCCACTCTTGTGACGGCGTCCCGGACAACGTTACAGTAAATCGTGCCGTCGATAAACGAAGAATTTAACAGTGTAAGTCCATTTTGGCTCTACAAAAACACAGAATGGTTATAACAACCTTTTTTATAGCATCTCAACGGCACCCCGTTAAGAGATAAAAATATGCTGCTCACCGTTAACCGTTTGTTGCTCTTTTGATTAGGAACGTTCCATGACATGTAAGCTTTGACCAGGTTCGTGCCAACGTTTTCGTGAACGCATTCCATAACGCTGTCTCCTCCCTGAAAAGAATAAAAAAAAATATATATTTATTTAACGTCATTATAATATAGTAATTCGCATTGTATTACACAACTCGTTCGATTTTTTACGCCGTCGTGTACGTGACTATTGTTATATCCATACACTAAGACGACAGTATTAATGGGTACATTTTAATAAAATATAATAATAACAATAACCATGAACGACCACAAAAAAGCCACTATCCATTTCTGTTGTCCTCGGATCCACAACCAAAATTTAACCTGATCCTCAATAACAAGTCGTCCATATTTTACTTAACTGTGCCTTGGCCATTGACGTATTTCATTCCGTTCTTTAAAATTTTGTCGTAACAATTCCGCTTTGTTCGCACTGCACTATGAATAATATACTTTTGACCTTCAACATCTGTTTTATTCTATTTTATTTTCTCACTTTAAATAGTCAAAGAGTTTTGTTGTTTCCAACATTGAAAAAATATAATCTAGGGATCATAGTGTTGCACGGGGCAAAATGTTACGGTAACAATTATTTGTATACGCATTGGACACACCAACAGTGGCGAGGCGAACTAAAAATTTTCCAGAGGCAAGTTACAAATATCCCAAGTATTAATACATAATAATTTATTAACATAATATAACTAATTATATTTCCGATCATTATTGACTACCTGTTGAGTATATCATATTACATTTACTAGGGGACCCACCGGCTACCACCCACCCCTATTTAAGATATTTAAGAAAAATCTCAGAGGCAATTGCTTCTGAAATTACCGCCGTTCACTACGGCACTTCGACACCAAAACAATTGAGCGAAATTTTCGGCTTCGACAATGAGTGTATGCTATATCGTTGATAAGCCGGTAAATAATAAATGATTATAAAAAGCTAAAATTCGTTGAAAAAAAGATAAAATATATTGATGAAGATTTTGTCTTCAATAATTATTCCCTAAGGAAAGTTTATTTTTTATTTCATTACACTGTCTATTTTGCATACAATAAGATTAATTTTACTCGGGTTTATTTTTTTATACCAAAAATAATTACGTTATAAATAAAAATCGTTATAAATGGAAAGTTATAGCTAACTGTTACGGGGTAAACTGTTATAATGTTAAATATTAACAGTGAAACTCGGTTATATTTTATATTCAGATTTATTATTTACTCCATTCGTTTCATTTTGATACAATATTATGTAAAATCATCATTGTTTTAAGTTCAAAAATAATTTATAGTCCTAAAGAAACAGTTTAGTTTACAATTTCAAAATTACTTTCCGGTTAATACACTGTGCACAAATTTGTATGCAAATTTTATTAACAAGTAGATAACATTGTGTATATACATATTGTACATTTAACTCTTTAGTATGGACTTATTTAGTAACTATATAATATTATAATTAATAATAGAATGGGCTGGGTCTATCATATTATTAAAATGTATATTGACCAAATTGCATCATTTTACCTTAAGTATTATGGATCCAGGGCTCGGGACTTATAGCATTTGCTTATATTTATGGTATGACATAAAATGTAGCAGAGTGCTATGGAAGTGTATGTCATGTTACGACACGTTCAATTATGAAATTTTAAAGTGCTTTTTTGCTTTTTTCAAAGATTTAAAAAAAAATATGCTTATTTCCAGTTTTTCTGATTATTTTTCTTTTTTGCATACCTCTGCTTAATTATGATTTATGATGACACGTGCCTAGAATTTCAGTTAATTTCTATTTTTATTCATAGTAAAGCTAAAACTAAAAATATTTTTTCTCTTTTGTATCATAATGTTTCCTAGTAATGAACACCGGGACTTGTATTTACTAGCTTATCCATAGTGTCTACTAATCTGTTATATTATTATGAATACATTTTTTTTCGGTTATTCTTAAACAATTTTAAATTTATTTTTCAGAAAATCTATAAGAAGTATAATAAAGAAGCTTAAATGTCTTCAAAAACTCAAAAAGACTATAAGTTTTGATTTTTTTAAAGACGAAATTTTTTTATGTTTTTAAGTATAAAAATTAAATGATAATAATATATAAAAAAACTTGTGTTTTTTTGATTATTTTAATATTTTTAAGTGCTTATTTGTGTTCTTATTATGAAGTATTCAAGACCTTTTTTCAGAGCTTATTTTTATGATTTTAAGTCCCGAACCCTTATTATGACATATTGATTTTTTTTTATAAAACAAGTTATTCACTTACAAGTATTATTATTTTTTAATAGTATATATTAATCGTTACAAGTGAATCTAATGAAAATTAAAAATGATGAATCATTTTACTATAGGTACACCAGTTTTGTGTAAAATACAAAAAAACCTAAAAGTTTATCATGTAGCCCCATTTTCCTATCTTTAGAACCGTAATAATTAGCACTATTCTAGGTGCCACATTTCTGCCTGTTATTATTTTTTTAGTTATTAATTAAGAACATTTTAGTTTATGGTTTAAATCAGTTGATTTAAAGTGTATATAGTTGTATAATGTATTGTTAAGGTTTCATCACTTTTACGTTTAATTTGTACATTTTTTCTAAATATAATTGTTGAAAATATTTATCGGCTATAATATACCTATACGAATTAGTATCACATTAATTTCCTTAAAAACAATAATTACCCATTACAAATTACAATGCGTGTCACTCACCATCTTCTGATCGTCCGAGATACCGACGGCCACATAGGCAGCGTTCCTAGCTTTCATTTCAAACATGTACCGTGTCCCTTCGACTTTGACGGCCGTCACTGCAGCGCAGTCCTGGGTCGACAAGCAACCATCGGGCGACCCGAAGCACGTTTTCGTCTGACCACAGTTGTCGTAAAACGGGTCCATTACACGAGCCGCTCTCAGCTGACCGAGTTTCCTCTTGTCGGGGCTGCTTATGAACGCTACGTCGTGGTAACCAACGCTGAAGGCTACACGGAAGTTGAAAAAAAAATATAAACATTTTTATAAGGATGTTTATTTTTGTTTCGCCACGATTTTCGTACTTTTCAACGAGGCACCGGCGGCCAGGAGGACGAAATAATCGCTGTTGTCCAGGTCATATGTGCTGTCTTCGACTTTTAAAACGGGATCCACGACGACCTTACAGTATATGGCACCGTCGATGATCGAGGCGCTTTCCAAATTCACTCCCGACAAGTCCTCGACGCGTCGGTTTTGCTTCCGATTGGGCACGTTCCACGATTTGTAAGCACTCACGCTATTGCTCCGACCACTCTCTTCGTGAACACATTCAACGACGCCGTCGCCTCCCTGATCAACACCAAAAGCGTATAGTTAATGAGTTATTGTTGGACAACTTAGAGTTGAGTAAACGAACGCAGCACTATATCAATGATATTAGGTGAAGTATGCATTTTTTTTAAAAGTCACGACCTATGTACTTTTGACTAATTTAATAATAAAGGAACAAAAATTGAAATCTTGCACAACAATATTATGTGTTATTACCTCAGATAGGTTTAACATTATTCTGAGACATACCGCGTGTAAATCATTATATGTAGCATGTAATATAAATATTATTATAATAACTCGTTGGTGTTTAGACTAATTTTACTTTGCAACAAATTTAAACAACTATTCGCTCTTTTGGTTTTATAGATTACCGAGGAGTTACCACACGAAACCATAAAGTTCAATAATTAATCATCGCATAATTGATTACTTTGCATGTTTAACTCGAGAGTGTTTTAAGTTTTGTTTAAAGTCTAAGATTCAATATTAAATGTTGAACCATTAAAACGAGCGTTTGTATATAGGTACCCGCTAGAATCAAGAAAAGTTTTATAATTAAATTCTTTAGAAACACTTAGCAGGCAGGAATTTATACTGACTTGATGGGCTTACCTATCGAAATTGGCTTACGACTCGCGCTACCTATTGTGACAATGTAGGTATTGTGCGTTGAAAATAGTATTATTATTACAATGTATGAATAGTGATTGTTTTAAGAGTAATCTTTTTCTAAGGACAGGTAATATATGTGTATCAATCCGACAATTACGAATATATCCGACGGAAATATTATTTGTGTATCGTTTTAAACCGAATGGACATTTAAATTGCATACCATTTTGTTGTCGTCTGAAAGTCCAAAAGCCACGTATTGGCTGTCACGGGCCATCATTTCAAAATGATATTTGTCATTCCAGGGCATCAAGGCGACAACCGCTCGGCAGTTCATAGTTTGGATGCAACCAAGAGGGGCTCCGACGCAGTTTTTAGTTTTTCCACAACCATCGTAAATGCTCGCCTCGATTTCTTTGAGACCCTATATATAAAATTTGCACGACATAACTTAATAGGTTTATCTCCATTGGTTAGAAGATAGCAATAGTAATTTTAATATAATATTAATATTTTAAAAAGTGATCATACATTTTCTGATCTGCTGATTTCAGTAGGTCCGGCCATCGGAGGCTCACCTTTTCCGCTGCTAACCTGAACTGGAGTCGAAGTAATGCCTACCCAAAATGTCGCGTAATCAAGTAACACCGTTGCCCTGCATAAAAAAAAATACAATATTATAATTTTGTTATATTTTTGTGATGTTCTTTTTACGTAACGTAACATAGTATTGTTGAATTCAGAATTACTACGCGTTATAAGTGTGTTAATCAAATAGTTAAGACTCACACGAAATTCACTGGTCCGTTGAAGTTTTGAGGTGCTTGCCAATCAAATTCTACAGATTTCTTTTTCGTGTTGCTACTATGCGTCACGCCCGAACTCTAAATATTAATATCGAATTCATTAGGAAAATAGCTGTAATTTAAACATGTTATTTTGAAACGACAATTATAGTTCACAAAATCAAAACTAATAGCAAAATTATATTATTATCTTTTTGCAATAACCGTTTTGTGTACCTATACGAGAAACCATGTTTAAATGTTATTAGGTGTACAAAATAAAATCCACACATTTTGTACAAAAAAATTGTGAAAATAATGTCCGAAAGTTGTTTCAATTCTGTATTAGGTACCTACCTACTATTATTTCAACAAGATGCAACCTACTTTTATTGTACTATTTTGGAATCAACTAGATTAACCTTGGTCTACACATCTCGCTCGTGACTCGTGAGAACGCATTATTGCGATAATCCAGAGTTATTATAACAAGAAAACAAATAGGTAGGTACTGTACAATTCAGCCATAATTTTCACTATTTTACAACACCTACTCTACAATAATATAAAAAGATATGTATATAGTATAAAATGGCATGCAACTAGTTTGTATTACGACTGTTTCAATTGCGTTTCAATTTGTTCTGTGTAGGAACCTTCTTAACTATAGACGTGTAATACTGATGCGAGTATAATGATCTAAATGGTATTTGCGTTTAAATTCGAATTCTCTACACAACATACGTATTTATGTCAAAAGTCAAACGAGTAGATTGAAATATGGATTTACAGTTAAAATCGGATCAAAGAAAATAGAAAAATCCATCAACAATACATGGATATCCTAAAAGTTTTTAAAAGTTTTTTTTTTTTTTTGCATTAGCTATCTAGTTGGAAAATGTAAATGTTTGGAAAACGTAACATTCAGTGTAGCGAAATTTGCTCTACTCTCGGTGAAAAATTGGGTTTCGATGTCGCTAAAAAAGATTATATAAGATTTACTGGTCAAAAAATCAGTAGATGTACGTTGCAACATTATTCGAGTTGTACCTATACGGATTTGCATAATATCATATTATCAGCTTTAATTGAACTAGATGTGTGTGGTGGCCACGGTCAGTCCCATGACCCACAAACATTATAATATTGCATAACATTTTAAACACAAATTGTAACAGACTGCTGTGTAATAATATCACTCACGGTCACTTCGTTGCAGTCGAGCGTCTGCGAGTCCTGCGGCACCTGGATGAACGACCCGACGGCATCCTCGCCGGTTCCGAGCGCTCGGGCCTCGATCAGGAACCCGATGAAGTAGTCGTTGGGCCTCGGCGCTGTCAGGGTGACGCGGACCCTCGACGACGTGACGTTCTCCGACGGTACGATCCTGTAAGGGGCGGCGGACACCTGGGCCGCCTTGCCGTGACCCGGGATCATGGTGCGACACGTGAGCACGGGCGCGCCGGACTCGTAGCCGCGGACAGCGAGCATCGAACAGCAGACGACCGCCAGGGCGGCGACGGCGGCGACCGCGTGCCGGCTGGTGTTCATCGCGCACTGCAGCAGGCCGCGATGTGTCAAGAAGTAGAATAATACGATATTATGTACGCTGTAAACAGTTCACAGACGAAAGACATGAGTAAATGTAAAATATTTTTTAAAAGCTTATCAGTTTACAGGCCGGGGGGGGGGGGGTGGTCTGAAACGGACCAGATGGAAAAATAACATTTAATGTTACACAGCATGCCCGTTTCAGCTTATCAATTTGATGAGCTTATGATCGCCAATAGTAGGCTAACCTATATAGGATACTAATTATTATAATATGATAACGAAATATTATAATATGGTAAACCTCGAACATCATAATATAATATTATTCATCGATCAATATGGTCGGGTTGGTCGCAATGTCACATGATATAATATAAAATAAATAATAAATTCGAAAGTGCGACGACGGACGACATGCGTTTTCGGTCTGACGAATATTAGATAGGTATACTGTTACTGTTGAATCCTAATTGATATAATATTATTATAATTACCTATACCGTTGTCGAAATATGCCAATGACGACGAGTTTTCGAAAACAACCAATAGTACGCAACATCCTATAATATTATACAGAGTGTCCCGCTATACATTCGTCCCAGACATTACACGTTTATTTAGAAATATTTTTTCGAAAATTGTATAGATGACTGCGTTTTCAAATAGTCGAGTTTATAACGTTTTCTGCAGGTAGATATATTCACTCACAATTACCCATATATACAGCAGAGAGTTTAAGTATGGACCTTTCTGTTATCGCGGATGACAATAATATGCGCACGAAGACAGAATGTACTTGCGGCGAGCACTTGACACATGGATAATATGCATTGTTGTAATTGTGAAGATATGGCGATCATGATAATGTAACTACGATTAAGGTAGGTAACGAAAATTATCAGACCCAAAATTTCATCAGCCATTTCACAGCCACACACATTAATGCATTATAATATATGAATGCGTGTCGTGTCTCAGTTTAAATTAGGTAAATTTAAGTTCATTTGACAATCGACATTCCGACGATGTCGACAGAATTTCTCATTTCACGTGTACAGCGTAAGAACTCAAAACAATGTAAACTGTAACGCGCTCGTACATATGCCCTATACGAATCGCGACATTTCCCCCCGGACATTTTTCCCCCGACTGTTTTCGGTGTAGTAAGACATTTTCCCCAGACATATTTTTTATGAGAAAATTTCCCTCCCCATTTTCTTTTAAAGTTTACTATTTAATAATAAAATATTATTATTTAATATCAATATATTTATGCCTATTGTATAATATTTTCATAAGCATAATAAATTATAGATGTATATTTTGATTAACTGAACTACTTGAATCAAATTCACAAGCAATTATTAAATGATTAATTAATATTCAAACTGGTACGGTTTTAACAAAAAATAAAAATAAATATGAGCAATGGCTGTATAAGTTGAGAAATAACATCAGAATCCAAATGTATCATTTTCATGTCGGAATTTTCAATAATTTGTATTAATTATTAATTATATTTTAATTTATAGTTTATACCTACTTATTTTTTTTTTATAATTTTTTTTATTGTTTCAATTAAGTAGTTTATATTATTGTGTAAAGATAAGATTATGGAAAAAAATTGTATAAGCTAATAACATGTAAAAAAAAATGTAAACAATGTCAGCCAATGGCCACCACTGCCGAGGCTGTTTCTAATAATAATAAACAAAAAGTAAGTAGTTCAGTTGATCAAACATATATGTACAATTAGAATCTATTATATTTATGAAAATAAAAACTATTTTATATTTTATTAAAAAAAAAAAATTCCTATTAAATAATTAATAATATTATATTATTAAATTCAATATTATTATTTATTAGTCAATAATTAACTTAAAGGGTGGAAAATGTCCGCATCAAAAATATATCGTGGGGGAAATGTCCTACTAGGCCGAAAACAGTCGGGGGAGGGGGTCTATTTACCATCCTATACTAATGATATGCACTCAAGTCTCAAGATCGATTTATATCAACAAGACCACTTGAATATGATAGTAAATAATAATAATACTCTTCGATGACGGTAATACATACCTATATGTATAATGTATATTGTAATGTATGTGATAACTCCACACGTAACCACTGGGTATCAAAAAAATGCCATTATACCGTATTATTATGTGACTTTATTATGCGCAAATACGTATAACCTACGTTTATAATACGTTTAAAATACTTATAACTTATAACTATACGCCAACGGAAAAACTGTAAAAAAAAAAAAAACCACTAACCACTGCTGCAGATTATTGTAATTATTATTGCTGGTTGGCGGCAGCAAGGCCGTAACTTGTGGAGAGTTAATAGTTCACCCCCCCCCCCTTTTACGCCCCCGAAATTCTATCAGACACGTAACTTTACGTAAAACTAACGACGGTTTATTTTCATTCCACGTACGTGTAATTACTCAATTTTATTTCAATTTTAACCTCGAACAGCCTTTCTGAGCTAAAACATGCTCCCTATAGCCACATACCATCAACCCCGAAAAAAGCTGATAACTTGGAGAAACTAGACAATATAAAAATAATATTATTTTAAAATTGTATATAATATTTAAAACGCTTATTATCATAGTTTGGTTGTACCTATATTGATTATATTTTAATTTCCGTTTAGGAACACTTGTGTCGAATATTTTTCCACTTCCGATATTCCTCGAATCAAGTACATATTCACTTAACCGTTGCTTGTTGGCACCCGACTGCGAATTTCAAGGTAAATTATTTCCAGACATTCCAGCACACTCACGCACACGTTAATGCAATAACAATGTGTTATTACTTATTTTCATTTTCCCGCCGCTGAGTGATAATAATATTAATAAACGCACGCGGTTACCGTTCATAATATTAATTTTGCGTAAATTTATTGCGAAAATTCAGTTTTCGTGCCGTCACACACTTCCTGCGTGGGTAAACTCAATGCACGTATTTATCGGTACAGTAAAAACTGTGGCAAAAAAAAAGCCCACCGTGCCCCGCGACGGTGTATTGTTAATATTATTTATGATCATTAATACAAAGACAAAGACGAACGATAATATTATTATTATATTTTATGAAGCGCGGACGTTTTAAATTAAGCCTTTATTGCTGCGGTGTCACCGTCAGAATAATAATATTATTATGTGTATAATACCAGGTTACCAGACACCAACATAATATAGACGCATACAGTCCAATTGCAATTAACACGTCACGTGATTATTACGTATAGCCGAATACAACCATATACCTGGTATATTTATTGGTTTTCACGATGTGTACAGTATACGCGAACAAGACGTGTACAACACATTAATATAATATGGATTAAGCAAATCGCATAAATCCCATTCCGGATTGAGTCACGGTGAACATTTAATGTCATGCGATTAATTTATGCGGGGTTTCACCGAAACGTGTTCCTGGTATGACGATATACATTTCCCCCCTCCCCTCACAACTCACACCATTCCACTGCAATTATTACCGCCATGTACAGGCAATGATCATCCCACAGAATTCGACCACCATGTTAAATAATGTTTTATGAGCTACGTTATTCATTAATGAAAAGATATATCGGCTGAAAAAAGTGTTCTTTTCGAAAAATCGCATCTCTTAGCGCGGGCACAAATACAGGTGGTGGATTTTCGCGGACGAACAATAACCCCGTTATATTATTGTTCAACGATGAATAAACACATACTATTACAGTTGTACCTATCGATATCCCGACAGACGATAAGACGGCAATATTAATTTATAACCCATTCCAAATGGCATTCAACTCAGGTATACGCAAATCGTACGAAAATAAACAAACTGCAAAAGTACGATATTATACACCTATAGGTATCATTATGTTAATTACCTATAAACGTGCAGAAGCTACTTAGACACAACAAGCTATAGCAGTATTTATTGTATACAGTGTGTACACTGTACATAGAATTTACAAACTACAAATCTTTCCCTATTTTTTAATACAGCTTGTAAGTCTGCTCTAAAATAAATTATGGCGGGAGTGCACAGGTAGGGCTGTCCCGATCCTCGAAAGTCGCCAGTATATTATTATATTATATTCAAAACTATTAAAATATAAATGGACATTTGACACGTTTTTTTTTTTATAAGCATTTGAAGTTTATATCATGACAAAATTCGTCAAAATCACGAAAGTGTTCACATTTTTTTGTAGTTCAATTTATATTTAATATTCAATTTTTATACCTTAGCTTAGAAATTGTATAACAAGATTTCTCATAAATACTTCATAGGTACTTGAAACAATAAAGCTAAAATAATAAATAATTTCAATATTTTATAGATATTTTAAATTAATTAAAAAAATAAATATTTAAACGAAGAATTTTAATTAGGTATATATTGTTATAATTCAAAAATATTATTCGTGGTAATTGAAACGTATGCATATATTATTATATATTATATCTAAAATGAAATTTTCCAAAAATTTAGATTGTTAAGCCTAATCATCAAATCTAATCGGTGTGATCAACAGCCAGTCGATATCGACTCAAAAGTTAATAATTATATTATAATATGTTACGATTATAATATACTATTACAATAATTAAACACAATAATAATATAATGAATGCAATGTTTTCTGCGAAAATTATTTATAACATACCGTATCACTAATAGCAAAATAAATTACCATATAATACCAAAATAAATATACCATAAAATATACTTTGTGATATAGGGTGGCAGACAGTTTTCGCTCAGAATCTTTTTTCCGTTTTCTTATCCAATGATTTATCTTTGAATTCAAATTCAACACATATATTACACTATTACAGTGACTTACTCAATGGCGAGGTTCACTCGACAACTTCTACAGTACAGCAAAGCAGTTATACCTACATTTCCCCCATTTTAATTTCGTTTCCTTGATCATAATTCTAAATCTGCTAAATCATAATGAGCGCACTC